CCAAAAAGAAACACAAAACCAAAAAAGATTCAATCCAACTGAATCCAAGATTTGGTGATAATATAGCACTTTATTTGCAAGCCATTTTTATATATATATAAACCTATATATTGCATGTAGATGAAAAAAGTGCTGACGAGTAAAATAAAGAGATTTACTAGCTAACGCGAATTCTTTTGCCAATGGGTCAGTATAGAGGGTTGCTCAGAAAGTGCAAAAAAGCATTTATTTGTAGCAGAAATATTTTGAAAGACTGCAAAAACGTCTTTACCGTTTATCAATATAATGCATCCCCAATGAGTAAGAATATTAATTCATTTGAAACAAAACTGAGCCCAAATTTTTGTGTATGTCGTATATAATATTTTTATAACAGTTGGTGGTTGCCATTGACTTCCATAGTAGGAAAAGGCGCCAGAGGGAGCGCCTCACGTGACCTTATGCAGCAAATCGTCAGCAATGTTAGCTAGCGTCTAGCAGCTTTCTGCACTCACCCTGTACCAGTTTTGGGGGAAAGTTACTATTAAAAGTAATGCATGACAGTAATGAGTTACCCCCTAAAAAAGTTACTAATTGCACTACTTAGTTACTTTTTATGGAAAGTAATGCATTACATTACTTTTGCGTTACTTTCGCTCATCTGAGCTGGGCTTTCTTGTGTCTTGTGTGTTTTAATATAAAAAAGTAAAATTTTTGCCATATGTAAAAGCCCTTTCACACCAAAAGTGAAATGAATAAGGCTCAGGAAATGTAAATTCAATTATTAACATATTTAAAGGGGGTCATATGATGCTGCTAACAAGAACATTATTTTGTGTATTTGGTGTAATGTGATGTGTTTATGTGGTTTAAGGTTCAAAAAACACATTATTTTCCACATACTGTACATTATTGTTTCTCCTCTATGCCCCGCCTTTCTGAAACGCGTCAATTTTTACAAAGCTCATCGGTCTGAAAAGCGAGGTGTGCTGTGATTGGCCAGCTATCCAGTGCGTTGTGATTGGCCGAATACCTCAAGCGTGTGACGGAAATGTTACGCCCCTCACCATACTGTGATGCCGTGTCCGGCCGGAGCGACGAGACAAAAACATTAAAACCCATTATAAACGAGGCATTTGTTGCATCCAGTGGGGACATAATTATGAATTATAATGACTTATACTGTCTTTTTACGCGTTGCGTAAACATAAACCCATGTCTGGAGAAATGACAAACAACAAGTGCTACTCTACACTGCTCAAAACTCGCGTTTGAATCGTCAGTGGCAAATTTTTTAAATAAGAAAACGTACTTACAGGCTGTGAGTCAGAAGCGCCAGACTGTCCTTGCAAAGTTGGAATTGCTCCACTTTAAAGAAACAGGCACCGGCATTGTAGGCTACTCTCCCAGGAAATAGTCCTCCGTAAAATGTGCTGCACATCTGAATATTTGGGTTGAACTGTTCTGGAACAGTGTTGTAAATACAACTTAACCACTGATTTCTAGTCGTGTCCTCTTTTGGAAGACCAAACAAAGTAGTTTAGCTTTCACAACGAAACACAACGTCTTCACGACATGGAGGCAGCAAAAATACTACAGCGAGAATAAAAGTTATGCCTTCTTTCTTTGCGTGAACATTTGGGCGGCGTTATGCAAATCTTCCCACATAGTGACGTAGACATGTGGGGGCGTGTTAGAACGAGCCGTTTTAGGTAGGCGTGGCTGACTCTTAACTTTTATAAAGAATATCTCTTTGGATTTGAGACTTTAGTCTTTGCAACTTTACAGATCTTCTTTATGCACCAAGAGCTTGTAACACTCCAAAGAGAAAGGAAAAATAAATTGAAATCGCATCATATGACCCCTTTAATTATTGCAGGTTTGCATCATATTCTGAGTTTGCATTCAAGTTTTTATTAATTTTGAGGAATACTAAATTTTTGTGCAAGTGAGGTGAGTAAATGCATGTTCGTATATAGTCTAGAACTACAGTAACCATTGTATTTAGGCTACACATTGCACTTACTGAAGATTTTTCTGTTAGACAATAAATGGGAAAACAAAGTATAACTGGCGCTACTTATTTGAAAAAGTAACTGTAAGTAACTGATATTTTACTGTAAATTGAAAAAAGTAATCTGATTACGTATATGCAGATTGTAGGAACTACTTTATCACTTGATACCACTTTAAATACAATATCGTGTGTGTGCATGTGTGCGTGAAAAACATTTGTAAAAAATTTGAGTGAAAAAAAAGAATTTAAAACTTTCACTATTAATGATTAATAATTTTAAAACATTTACAAATGTTGAGAACATTACTGTTTTATTCTCATTTCAAAGCTGAAAAACAGATCGATTGCAATTATTTCATTATGACTAGTTTTTAACTAACAAATAGAGTACAAAAACTCACAGAATGAAACACATTTGCATGGACTTACATGGACATGGAAAGTGAGCAGACGTTTTCGGTGTAGAAAGGCTGCTGTTTAGCCACAAGAATGCACGAATGCAAAGCAAAAATGCAAAAGACTTAGAATTTTTGCATATTTATGAACAGTTTAATACATATTTTGATATAATTTTAAATGCAAGATTTAAATTTTTTCTGTTCATCTGTCAGACTCTGTTCCGTGTGTTGTGTGTCTTTTCCTCCTCGTGTGTTTCCATGTCCTTATTTGGTCTTTCCTGTTCCTGTCCTCGTTGTGTGAATTCGCGTCCAGCTGTGTTTCATTAATTAGTTCATTTGCTCCCAGGTGTGTCCCATTGGTGTCTGTGTATTTAAAGTGTCCCCAGTCCCTAGTTCTCTCTCTGCTGTTAAATGTCACCCTGAGTTCTTGAGATTGTCTCCCTTTGGTCATGGAATTAAAGTCTAGTTAACGTATTCTCCAGCGTCTCCTCGTTTCTCTCTAGTGAATTGTGACCGAACAGAGGACCGATACAGAAAGTAAGCAGCGCCTTTTTTTCCCCTGTTTGTTTTTTGGTTTTCTGAAAAGTGTTTTTTTTTTTTTTGTTTTTTTTTTTTTGTGTTTCCCTACCCTTATGT